AACCGTGTGTCGACATTGTGTGCGTGCACAGAACGTTGAGTGAAACAAAGGGAGTTGGCACACGCAAAGCTATAACATAAAAGCTAAACCTTGAAAAGTGGTCTCTGCTGTGTGAGGCACATTACTTCTAATTACAGTCAAATAAAGAGAACTTGTATAACTTCGACAACCTCATTCACCCTTTAGCTTGCTGTTTGTGTTTGTGTGTGTGTGTGTGTGTGTGTGTGTGTGTGAGTGTGTGAGACAGAGAAAGTGAAAGTCTGAGTTTTGTGATCTGAGGTCACGTTGGTCATTCCAAACTTCTTCAGTGTGCCTTCTTTGCTTTCTCTGCCTATACAGTTCGCTTCCTGGAGATTCGCAGGACTCTCAGCGCTACAGCTGGCAGGAAGTATGACAACAGAGTGGCTCATTTTGGACAGGCTTGGCGCATACAGTAGGAGTGTCCTGTAAAGTCCCTCCAGAGCCCGGGCAGACTGTAAGACCTTCCCTAAGGAAAGAGCTGCCGCCCTCTGAAACCCAGTAGCGACTTGATGGCACTTTGAACTGCTTTACACTCTAAAAGCATTTGTACTGTAGTGCTAGGCAATAATAATAATAATGATATATATTCAAATATGCTCAAAATGACCCCCAAACACCACTTGCCTCACACAGAACTGCAGCACACTGTAATACTACAACTGGTGGTAATAATAATGGCAATTTTCAGTTTGTTTATTTTCTTATCATTATGATTGCATTTGCTAATGACAATCTGGATAGCAGTGCATTGTTGCCTAACACAGCATAACATTTTTTTTATTTATATATTTTTTATTCATACATTGAGAGTATTTAGGGCAAATTCGAATACTGGGGTGGGGGTGTGTGTGTCCCTTCATTATTACTGGATTGCTGTGGGTAGGTACAATCAATCAATCAATGTGTCAGCACAATGTTCCAGTGGTTGGCATTGTCACCTTACAGTGAACTCAGGGTGGGGGAGCCCTTCTGTGCAAGAATGTGAGTGCTAACATTAGTTTGCTAACTAACAGTAGCATTTGCTATCTAGCTAACTTGCTCCTAGCTATGGCAGCACTTTTTGATCAGCGTTGACGTTGTGACGTAAGTTTGATTTTTGTGTGAGTGGAGATAGCGGTCAAATATTGGCAATAATACTCCACCCAACATTTTCAATTCTCAAAAAAAGAGGATGAAGAAGAACGGGAGGCAGTTAAATTAAAAAATCTTTGTTACTTCCTGTAAGTGCAAAATGGCAGTGCAGAATTTGAGACAACGCTACCCTGCTGAAGTCAGTGCACCACGTAAGAAGAATATAGTATACATTAGGGCATTAACGACTTTGATTTTTTTCAGGTCGACTTATCTGTCAATAAAGTCGAAGTCGAGTTGACAAGTCATTTGATGACATCATCACATCGACACGGCGGAGGAAAGTGAAGTATCTCCACACATGTGATGTGTGTCTGAAGGCCCGAACATACTCGGGCGGAATGTACGTGGAACGGACTCTGCGGAGGTCCGCGTAGACTCAAAGCTGACGTCTGCAAGCCCTGTGTGCGCAAAGCTCAGATTTTACGACCGTGCGGACTCCGCTCCGCGCACCCATGACTGCTCGGCATGTATTTTTCACATCACAGGGATTTTTCACGGACATTTTTACAGGAAACTACAACACAGAAGTGCGCTCGACTATGAAAGCCCGAATGACTTCGGATATTCCTCGCGGAGTCTGCTCCACTTATAGTACGCCCGAGTATGTTCACTTATCAAGGATAAAGTATCAGTGTAAGCCAATCAGAGGCAGCGATTGCATTCCGTACACAAGCACACAGAGAGAGAGAGAGAGAGAGGGAAAAAACACACAACTTGTCGACTCTTCCCGAGGTGTGTCGACTTGTGCCACTGACGTCGACACGTCAACTTTTCTGTTAATGCCCTAGTATACATAGTGTACTACATTGAAGTGTACTAATGGAAGTATGTGATGTGAGTGTTCCCCTCAATCATATGTTGGCTCCCTAAAATGGCACTCAGTTGTCAAACCTTTGAGAAGCCTTGATCTAAGATGTTTGTTTCGAAATGCTCTGAAATGGTCAGTTCAGCTGTTAAGTTTTAAAATTTTTGTCCAGGTGGGAATTTACCCCAGACCACTGTTGAGGGTGCCGCAAAAAGTGTTGATTAGAAAAGGTGCCCCCCTCCAATCTATGTTAAATAGGTGATTACGGCCCTGCTGTAGTGCGTAAGTGTACGCTCATTCACTAAACTGAGCTACTGCCTGTCTTCATGTGTGATCAATGGTATGTGGCTTCACCAGCAGAGTGAGGAAGTGCATCAGCGGTGACTTCAACAATGTCAGGAAACACAGTCAGAATGGGGCAGCTGATCCCAGAGTTTGCATGTATAACCGTTAAGGATGACCTGTCGCACAGATTGGGGTCTTCCAGCTAATGACTCAGGTTATTTGCACAGCTTTACACAAACAATTAGCTCCATTGTGAAGTCCTTATTGGAATATCCTCTTGAAGCAGCATGTGTCTGTGTTTGGGAAATAGTCTAGACTAGTGAATATTAGCCAATCAAAACAAAAAATATAAGAAAATTTGATAAAAGCTGTTGTGATGGAGGAACGTATAGCCTGAGCGTCACTTTTACCTGCACTGTTAGGAGGCTTGATAGGAGGGCTGCAGTTTCTCTGGCAGGTAGGTATTGACTGTAGAGAAAAAATGGTCGTTGGAGCAGCAAATAACCTGCAATGTTGTTCTCATCTTGGAGGTTTGTATTTGCTCCACTGAACAAGAGGTGAGAGTTTACTCTGTGGAAAGAATAGAGCGGGGAGTCGGGCTTCTCCGGCTCGATCGGCTATAAGGAAGATGGATGTAAAAGGGAGCTCTGCTGTTCCGCTGCTGGCTTTGGTTGGCAGCAGAGATCCCGATATGGGTCACACTGTGCAATCTGTTCCGTGACCCCCTGGCTTTTTGTGGAAACACATACATGAACGATCACGTGTACACACGCACGCGAGCGCAGGCTCATGCACCCACCCACCTGCGCTGCGATAACAAGACAGCACGGGAATGCCAGCCAAGTTCTGTGAACAGGCATTGAACTGGGCAGCTTCGGCAGGCTCTGTTTGGATTGTTCTCCCAGCAGTGTCTGCCAATTTATTCTTGACACAGGGAGCAGCTGCCCACAATAAACACATTCCACTCTGAGGACAGAGAATCAGTCTTCCTATTATTATTATTAAACGATAAAACATTTTGATAAAACTGCAGCAGAAGAGGAAAAAAAGTTTTTTATTTTTGTTTTCAGCTGCTTGTTGCAGCTCTTGTTTGGCCTCATGCTGTTCAAGCAGTTTGTTTTCTGAGAACCTGTCTCACTCGAATTTCCCATAAACCTCCTTTTCCTGCTATAGATAACTGCTTATCGTCATGGAGACAGTTCTGTAAATTGCTGGAAATGAGTGCTATGCTGCAGAGCACTGCGGCCGTGTCTCTGAAAAGACGTATGGCTTAATTCATGGAGAGCCTGGGCGAGCACCTTTGTTGAAGGTGCTGGATTTTTATCAATTTCTCTCCACAAAAACAGCGCTAACAGTCAGGGCTCCCTGAGGGATATTAAATAGAGCCAGCATAAAGTGCTGTTCCACCGTGTATGAACTTTTACTGGCATATAATTGATGTCTTTCTTCCCTCTTAAGCCAGAGCGACGGGTTTGAAAGCCATTGAATTAACATTATTTCCCTCCATTTTTCCCACTCAGGAGGTTATGCTCATGATGCCCTGTACGGCTCATCCACTTCTCCACACCTCCGCCTTTCGATCATTCCCAAAGTGCTTTCACTTGAGCGATTCAGTGCCTCCATATTGTGACAGTATTTGGATAGTGGTTGGACACAAGCAATATACGCTAAAGAGACATTTTCCCCACACAGAAATCTCATCCCTACAGTACACAAGAGACCAGGTTGTATGGAATATAGTCTCTGTATGGCATCTTTAATTCCCCAAACAATAATACAAATGTAACACTTTTGTTATTGTACTATTTTTTAGCAGTATAAATGAAAGATGTAAGACCTTTTTATGCACACAAGACTAATTTCTTTCAAATTTAGGTGTGAACGGCATCAGAATTACACAGGTTTGCCTTGGGCTGGTCACAATAAAAGGTCACTTGAAAATGTTCAGTTTTAATTTTGAAAAGTATATTTTATTACTATGAATTCTGAATTTCACATGACTAGAGCTACAGATGTACACAAGTTATGTCGGGACACGTGGTCTGCAGTTGTGTGGCTGGTTGGATGTACTGCCAAATTGGAGATGGCTTATGATAGTGAAATTAACTTTTAGTTCATGGGCAACAGCTCTGGTGGACATTTCTGAAGTCAGCATGCCTATGGAACCCTCCCTAAAACTTGTGACTTGGTGGGCTTTTCTCATGTGGCTCAGAGGTAGAGCAGGTCATCCACCAATCGGAAGATGAGCGGTTCGATCTCCAGCTCCTCCAGTCTACATGTGAAGCATCCTTGAGCAAGATTCTGAACCGAGGATACTTCCATCGGTGTGTGAGTGTGCAAAAAACTGAGTAGTAGGTGGCACCTTGCATGGTAGCTTCAACCACCAATGAATGAATGTGTGTGTGAATGGGTGAATGTGACTCGTGGTGTAAAAAGCGGTTTGAGTGGTTGGATGACTAGAAAAGGCGCTGTACAAATGTAGGCCCATTTACCATTCCCAGCGGGTAGATGGATTATCTTGGGAAAGGAGAAGTGCTCATGAACATGTATTTTATCAATTTTGTGACCAAAATTTGATAGAAATTATTCATTTGTGTGTGTACAAGTCTTTCTCTCTTTAAATCTGTAAAAATTGGAGTAAAAACAAAAGTGTTATGTTGAAATTTTTGTTCAGTAAATCCTTTGTAGAACAGGTAAAATGCATATACTGATAGTTATTCATTTTAATACCGTAATTTGACCATGTCATCATAAATTTATGTAACTTTAAACTTTATTTCCCACAAAATAATAAATAATAACATTGGTATTTCATAATACTTGAAACATTAAATACAGTTTTCCCAAAATTGGTCATTTACTTTCATTAAGTTTGCACATGTCTGTACCGCTTTCCGTCCACTCGATGTGCAATCACTAATGCATCTTTTGAGTCCTCTCAAGCTCTCGAAAAAGGTTTGATTTTCCAACTGGATGCTTGTCGTTCCTCCATTATTCAGCTCTCATGATCTAGTATGCAGTGCTCCTCTCTCGCCCCTCTTTCTTCATAGCTAAATTACTATGGTTACTGGCAATGACAACTCACTTACAATCCCAGAATTCCTCTGGTTTGGCTCCCCTGTGTCTTCCCCAGTTCACGTCCCCAACTCGAGTGACCGAGACTCACTGGGTGAAAGGGGAAAAGTACATTGCGTGTGTGCATGCATGCATGCATGCATCCACGCAGGCCTTATCCTCTTGGGAGCAAAGCGGGATCCAGAGACCAGCACATTCCGCAGTGTGGACGGAGCCATGGGAGAGGGAGAGACGACGAAGGGGGGAGGGTGGGGGGGGGCTTCAAAGAACTCCAGCAGTTACAGTGCAGATCTCAGAGGAATATGCTTAAATCTGGTTCTACTGCACACTCTCCCATACACACGTATCCCCAGCCCCTCTGCAGACCCCCATCGCACTGTATTTTTCCACTGTTGCAGTCCACCCTAAAGCCATTAAATGTAACATCTTATGACTGTAATCTTCTCTCATTGTGGACTCTCATTTTCTTTGCCTTGAGGAGTGTTCTTGAAATGTTTTCAATAGGTCCATTTATTTCGTAAATCTCTGTTTGAATATCTGCCTGCCTCTGAGGCATCGAGTTCACAGTGCAATAATTGTTCTTCCTTTCTCCATTGTTCAAGCTCTCACTCCTGATAGTCAAGTGTCATGTGCAGGATAGTATTTATACCATAAAATGAACGACACCAAACAAACCTTTCATGGTCCTAAGAGACTTATCACCACATCTGAATGCGTCATACATAATGTTTCTGCTTGGAGTGTCCTTTATAAGCACCCTTAGTGTTTTTCCCAGTGTGGTGTGCGTGTTTCTTATAATGGACTCTCGGGGAGTGTGTTGTCTTTATAGCCTCCATGCAGTTCATATAACTAGGAAGCAGGTCGCTCCCAGTCTCCCCAGGTCCCCAGTTCACCTCTATCGCCAGATCGCCATGGCTCTCACAGGGGTTGGGATAGTACGCAGCCTCCCCCTGCATGGGGATGTTGACATGACTCCCTGCTCTGTAGGACTGTAGCGCATCCTGTTGGAGTTCTGGAGCGTCCTGTTGAGCTGGTACCTGCTCTGACCGAGGTAGGTAGTCTTGGTGCTGGGCAAGGTAGCGTTTCTCCAGCCGATGAGAGATGGCGAGCTGGAGGAGGTGGAGAAGCTCGACGAGGTTGAGGAGTACGGATATGGCAGCGATCACCTGAGTGTAGATGGTAAAGATGGTCTTCTCCGTGGGACGAGAGACAAAGCAGTCCACTGTGTGAGGACAAGGAACCCTTGTGCACTCAAACTTTGCTGAAATGAAGAAGCCATCATAAAGAAACCACAGTCCTACGATGAAGCCGACTTCTAGTAGGACTTTTAACAGTATGCTAAATGCATACGCACACAGCAACCTGCCTTTCAGCTTTGGAGCCTCAGGAGGAGCCCTGTCAGCTTTTCTAACTTTCCCACTGTCCTCTTTTTTCTCCGTCTCTTCTGCATTGTCTTTATTCACACTGTTATTGTCCCTTTCTATCACTGTTTCTCCTCTCTTACCCCCAGCACCTTCTCCTTCCTCCTTCCCATCCTCCTCTTTATTCTTGTCTCTCCCCGCCCGTATAGCCACGTATGCAAAATAGAAGATGGTGGGCGTGGAGACGAAGATGACCTGGAGGACGAAGTAGCGAAAGTGGGAGATGGGGAAGGCTTTGTCGTAGCACACGGCGGTGCAACCAGGTTGTCGCGTGTTGCAGACGAAGTCGGCTTGCTCGTCATCCCAGGCAGATTCGGCGGCAGTTGCCAGAACCAGCATGCGGAACAGGAAGAGCACGGTGAGCCAGACGCGGCCGACGCCTGTCGAATACTCCTGGCCCTCCTCCAGCAGGTGCTCCAGGAAGGACCAGTCAGCTCTGGACATCCTCTGCTCCTGAGAAGGACAGTTGGACGGACAGGGGAGAACGAGAGAATGTCAGAAATAAGATTTTTGAATAAACTCACCTTTTGCAGCACAGAATATAACCAAGGACACTAAATGAGGACTTTTAAGTTAGTGGCTGTTCCTTTTGAACTCCCCTAATGTGAAGCGCGTGTCTGGACCCCATTATACCTGCCTGCACGTGTAGTCGCTCTGCAGGTCATACAGTTCCTCTACCTTTATATTTATTGCTCCATTGTTGAACAGATTGGCTTCAATATGCCACTTAACACCTAATTGGCATATTTTGTTTCCACAACAAAATCCTCAAAGGTTTTTATTAACGCATGGCTAATGCACAAGTGTTTAATGATTTCTATAAGCAAACACATGAGCTAAGTCTCTCCAACCTTTTCACTATAATGGTGTCTTTTTTTTTTACTGGGGAACATGTGTATCTGGCTGCAGCCCCCCTCTATTAGTTCTTCCATGAGCTCACATCATCGTTCAACTCCTCATCATCAAGATGTGAAAAACAAGGCCTCCATACAGTAAAATGAACTAAAGCAAAAACACATGGTGCTTAAGTTAACGTGTAATATGAAAGGAAACTGTGCAGAGTGAAACTGGATTGAATCAGTCCAAGAGGGGGCCACTCGTACTTTTACACTATACAGCATTATTATACACAAGCACATTCATTTTTCTAATTGGATTCATGAATCAATTAAAGCTTGGACAATACTGAGGTATTGATTTAAACTGTTAATGATAAATGACACAGTCAGTGACTTGCTGGGAAGCTCAATTTGTGTGTGTGCGTCTCTGTACACACACACACACACACACACACACACAAATGCATCTGAATAAACATCCTGTGTGGGGGAGTTGAGGCACCGCTGTGACACTTGTCCACTTGTTTAGACTATTTATGTTTTTTGTTATTTCTTCCCCTCTGAGAAAAGAAACTGTCCCTAACAGTGAAAATACAAACTCTTGTGACAGGATGAGACAAGACAATGGACTGTCAAAGAGTCTGGCCTGCTGAACAAGCACAAAAATGACAAATGGACTGATTCACTTCTGGGAGTATTGTCTGGAGCATTACTTTTATCTCTACAAGACATTCCTCAGAATACCAACAGACTGAAAATAGTTCCAACATAGAAAAGTAGCATGACATAAGACTGTTAACAAAAACTTTATTTTATTTTTTAATTTGAAAGCAACAAATATAAGGGGGAAATGATCCAAAGTGTTAACCATCCGCAGTGTGGGTACCACCTCTCGTGGCAACGCAGCTCACCTTAATGTGCTCATCAGTGAGTGATCACCACAGTCAGAACATGCTAGAGCATTGTGGAGCGTATGCAGGGAGTATTAGAGTAAAGAAATGGAAAGGCGAAAGCCATCCAAGGCCTAGTACAGAAAAAGAAGGCAACAAAATTTGTATATGTGCCTCTTAGTTAAGTTATTTGTGTTCATGTCTCTTTGTTGTTTGTGATAAACACAGTACATAAATAAAATTATGAAAGTTTTTTGGGGGGGTGTGAGGGATGGGGGCAGGGGACGCTTTCCCCGGGCACTGAATCTGCTCAGTCAGGCAGTGATAAAATACAATAAAACACTAACCCAAAAAAATTAATTCCTGCCGCAGACACTACAAGTTACAAAAGGCTTTTCACAACACCAGTGATAAGTCTATTTTTAGTATCATTTCTCGCCTTATTACTGGCATACTTTTAGTTTTTTAAGTTGTCTATAGAAACCATATGGAATTTTAAACAACGCCCACAACAAAGCAGGGTAAATAAATTAATAAATAATCATAAAACACAATATAAAGTCCCACAGATTCATCATTTATATTGAAAACTAAAATACTAGAGATTCCACTCCACTTTAGAAAGCTCACTCTTTAATTCACTGCACATAAGGTGAAAAAATAATAACACAAAAGTATAATTACGCACCAAAAGTCAGTAGAAAGTACTTTTTTTATTGTGATACTTTGTGGGATTAAAAAACAATATCAAATACACGGCAACTACAGGGACATGATTATGTAATATGACAATACAAGTGCTGTTTTTTGGTCACATTAAGTATTCTAATTTGTGTTTGTTCCTAATTGGAAAAGGTGCCTACCTTTCTCTCTCGTGAAGTGGGCTTTGTCTCCTTACTGGCGCACTGGTTTCAGCACTCAGTGTCCTCTGGCCGTGTCCCTCCGCTCCTCACAGCAGCGGTCCGCAGCTCCGCTCGGGTTTGTGTTTGCCTTCTTTAAAAAGAATCGATGTAATCGGAAAAAGTGGGGAGAACTTTCCCATGCCCGCTCCTTTGGCCCTCCCTCAGGAACTCCGTCCAGGAAATGGGATGGATGAACTCAAAGTAGCTCTGCGTAACTGCGCTCCGGCGTTTAGGGTTTAACTCTGTGTAAAGAGCACAGATTTGTATTAATGACACGGGAATATCGCCTGACTTCGCTTATTTAAAGGTGAGAGGTGAAGGAGCTTAAGAAGTCAAGGCAGGAATGAACAATAGGCTGCACTGGAAAGAGTGACATGGTTTTAAAAGTCGTGTTTTTAGGGGGGAAATTAAACACTTTAATTTACAGTCAGTGCGGCACTTTTATAATAAATAACCTCACAATTAGAGCACCATAATCAGACCAGGAACTCACCGAATACCAGACCAGCCTCCCAGTGTCCTCCATAAACATTATTTTAACTTATAGTATTTTGTGCAGCAGCCTTCAGAATACTTCAGATCATGTCTTTGTCCTTTCAGCGCACACACCAGCTGTTTTTTTTTAATTAATTTAGTTTTTCTATTTTTATTTCATTTATTTATTTATTTACTAACGGGACTGACTGTGATGCTGTAATTTTCCATGATGCCACGCAATGGCGCCAGTCACCTTATTTCGGAAAAGCCCATGACGCACCGATCAATGGTGCCACATATACATGCCTCTTATGAAACCTTATATTTTCACTTGTAGACCGTTTCAGTGAGCTCCATAGGTTTGCATCTTCTGCATGATTTAGTCAAACTTTTTGCTCATCTGTTTTGCTACTGTCTCATATCACACTGCAAACTGTAGGTATACTGTGGATGAGTTATGTTGTGGGTCAAATTGTGTCCATTAAGATTAATGTAGAAAAATGGAATGGAAAGTATATTCACACAAGTACTGCACTTATTTTAGTGTTTCCATTTTCTACTACTTTACAAATCTACTACCCTAAATTTTGAGGAAAATATTGTACTTTTTATTCCCGTACATTTATTCAAAATTGTAGTTGAAAGTTTCTTTTCTGTTTCAGATTTGGATACAAAATATATTAAAATGAGAGATTAAACTACCTTTTCAAATTAGCTCCATCTCTGCCAACTACAACATCAATGTAGGGGAGACTGGTTATAATAACAGGGTGGTTGTAACGGCACCACTTTAACCAAGACAGGATGGTATATGATTCATGTAATATGTTTTTGTACAGCCACTTCCTTCCTTCCTGACCTATAATTTCATAGCTATGTGATGATGAATTATGCAGATTTTACAGGCAAAATACTGATTTTCCAGTATGACAGTCATTTTTACGCAAAATGTGAAGCATTTTATCTTCTCTAATTTTAAACCACCATGTTGCGATGGCTATCTAAACTATGGCTGACGGGTGAGGATGGTATCTATCTATCTATCTATCTATCTATCTATCAGGGAGAGACAGTAAGGACTGTCCCTAGATAATACTCTATCTGGCACGTGACTTTGAGCAGATACTCAAGATATTACGAAACCTCAGAGAACAAGGATCAGCACAAAAGTCCTGACTGAGGCGGCAGACTTGTATTTTGAACTCACCTTACCAAGCATCTGACAGGTACATTTTAGCAAGTTAAACCATAGTAGGTATTGGTAATTAGTATATGTGTCACTTTTTTATCTGTATTTTTGTAATTGTTTAATTTTTAATTCTTCACTCTTTTTGTTACAACTGGTAAGTAACTTGCAAGTTGTAACAATGGAACTCCTTGTATTTGACATCAGTTAATTAATTATGTGATATAGTTTGAGAAGTTGGAACCATTTCTGTTTGTAGTAGACAAATAAGAGTACGTGGTGCAAAAATTCAAGAGCTCTAACACAAAACTTCAGCTTGTTACAGGTGCTGAGAGAAAAAGTGTTCACATTACACCATCATCATAGTTTGGATCCTCCGCTCCCAATACTTTAGTTATTTTACTTAAAGGTGAAGTGTGTAAGATTTAAGGGGGTTTTGTGGTGTCTAGCAGTGATTGCAGTTTGCAACCAGCTAAAACGTCTCTCAGCTACAATTCTGTCAATGTTCATCGTTAAGAGGGTTTTTACCAGGAGCTGAATTAGGGTCTCCGTCACGATCAGCTCCTCTTAATAACTATTTCATGTTACAAACCAGTGTTTCTCTGATGCTGTTTGGCATATTGGAGACAGGTGGCTCCCTTATTTTCTCTGAAGACACAAGATCCAGACGTTCAGGAGGTCATCACCAGGAGCCGAATCATCCACAGAGATCTTGTTCTCTCCAAAACAAATGAACCAGGTGATTTAAACTGATAGAAACACTGAATAAAGTAGTATCAACTTACAAACCAGTGGTTTTTTGATGCTGCTTCTTGCAGATGGGCTTCTAAAACATGGAAACGTTAACAGCCTTATCTGGAGCCAGTGGCTGGTTTGTGCATTACTTTAGAAAAATGGCAGGTAACATCTTGAGCTCCACAGACAAGGACCTGCTCATAAGGAAAGCACAATTCTTACATCCAGGAGATTATACCCAAACAAAACATTTCTGAATGTGATGGAGTGTTTTCATCGTATGGTACTGAGTAAATGGTCTGAGCACTTCCTCTCAACTGGAATTAAGTTAATAACAAGGTTGCTGCTTCGTCATACTAAGTGCTGTACTTAGTTGAGTTTACTTCCCATTAAGGTTTACAATGCTATAATTAGATCATGTAGGCATCCTAGACTCTGGTGGGCACCGGGCAAAGAAAGCCATTGAACCCTGTCTTTACTAAAGGCATCCAGCTGTCATATGGTACCAGAAGGGGGCCCACTTAGGGGTTTGTTGGCAGTGGTGGTGCACTGTATGGTGCCGTTATAGAAGGTGTAAGGGGGTTTATAGTTGTCATTGCAAAATGTGCCAATATGAGTGACCATCAGGGGCCCCTTTTTCCAGATTTCTCTGGGGGCCTGGTGTCCCTGTCCTGATGGTGGGCCCCTGCCTGTAGGCCACAATTTGTATTTAAATGATTTTAGTGAATTGAATTAAATGTAGGTACAGCCCTACTGTGAGTGTGTGTCCTAGACTCAAGTGATTTAAAGGAATTTATGTACATGTATCTTACTTTCAAATAATAAAATAACCTACTCGGTGCAGTTTAATAGATTCTACCACACTTATTAGGAGAAGCTCTGTTTGCTGATGTAAACTATGCACAGAGATCTCACCTTGTGTTTGTGCTTATTGAAAAACCTGCAGCCTGTCTAGTTTTCTTCATCAAGACCCAGACAGCTGGTGGTGCACAGGCTTTGTTTTGCAGATGTGTGGCTTCAGCTAACCCGAACAAGCCCAGGATGTTGCCATAATTCAGATTCTTTGTGCTTAGTGCTTGCTCATCGAAAGTCCTTACGGAGATAATGCAAAACCTTGAGGCGCATCTTTGCAATAAACTGAATGGAAAAATGCATATTTACAAAACAAGCCTTTCTCCTTTTGAAGATGCAAAACCGAGTATGAACCGTAAATAAAAGGTTGCTGGAAGACTAGATTTCATATCTTAAATCAATTCTGACAAAAGCAAGGCTGTACACCGCTGTGAGCATTAAACCCAATGGCTTTCTCATGGCGCCAAGAAATTGAAATAGTGATTGATTAAACAAGTATTTTATTCAAATACATTAACTGCATGATGGCACAAATTCAAAAAAAGCCTCACTAGCCATAACACTGTTCAGCACCAAATCACATGTCATAACACAGTCTGTACAAATCCAACCGCTAATGGCCAATCCGGTTATCACCTCCTGACACCACACTCAGTCACATTAAAGTCTTTGCGGAGAAGTCATCTCCTGACAGTCATTCCCAATCAGTGCTGCACCATCATACTGTATGTGTCAATATGTAGATTATAAGAAGAGTTAGGAGGCTGGGTCCATCTACCCGGCTGCTGCGAGAAGCGGAGCTTTATAAAAAGCTTGGTAAATTGACAGTGAGTCATCCTGACAGATCAGCGTCTTTCTCTTTCTTTGGTCATTACATCTGTAGATGAATGGCGAGGAGGGAAGTGAGGACAGCCGACAGAGAGTAATGAGACTGTTTCCATTCAGGAGATGTGTAATGCCTTCCTGTGTTCAGTGTGTTCCTTCCCTGCCGGTACAGTTATCAATGAAAATAATTGCCAGCTTCAAGTTCAATTCTTCTCCGCCGGACAGATTTTAACATACACTATTGTGCTTTATGACTTATTCAGTCCTGAGTGTACATGAGAGAAATTAATAATTCAGATCCAAGTGTGGAATGGGAACACTAATTCAGAGATGGGTTGCAACACCAAAAGTATGAGTTTGAGGATGAATAATCGCTGGAACTTTTTTTTTGTCATCTGTTAAAACCTGCACAGTAAACGCAAACAGGCAGGTTTATCCTCAGGGGCTGATATGAAACAACTGAACACAACAAAATGACTGGATCCATTTACTTGACAGCAAAGGTTCCTTAAGAAAAAACAAAATACTGACAGCCAACAAATCATGCCCATGTTTGCGATTTCTTTTTACATGAATAAGTAATGGTGGAGTATTCAATCAACCTTACCTTGCTTCGCTAAATGATGAACTGCAACCATTGCCTGTAGAAAAACAGGCTGGAACACTTTCTACCCAGTCTCTTCATTTACTCACATAAAGCTGTTTAATGGAGTTGAATATTAAAATCTTTCTAAGTATCTCAACAACTATTGAAGGAATTGCCATTAAATTTTTAAATTTTCAATCTCACTGACTTTGATCCCCTGCCTTCTAGTGATATCCTCTGGTGCTGCCCATTAACAGTGTAAAGAAAATGGATGGAGCCATTGTGACATCACCCATTGGTTTGTGGACTCCTGTTTTAAAGCCTCAAGTTTGGAGTTAGGGCCGTCACCACCATCTTGGATTTTTGGAGCCAGAAGTGAACATTTTGGATAAGGGTGGAGCTGTAGAGGAGCAAGCAGTGATGCAGGCCTTCCT